CAACATCCGGGGTCCCAGACTTTTCAACATCTTACCAGAAGATATCAGAAACACTGCTGGAACAAGTGTTGAAGCCTTCAATAGGAAACTTGATAAGTATCTTCACCAGGTGCCAGATCAACCAGGCTGTGATGGATATGTGGGGCATCGGGCCTCCAGCAGCAACAGCCTGGTTGACCAGGCAAGCACCAGACAAGCCTGGCCCATGGCCGGGCTCAGAGAGTAGATATACTCTCGAAATTCTTCAAAGGTATATCAAAGGTATATATGTATCCTTAGCTGCTAAGCAAAATTACACCAGGTGAATGTTCACTAAGCATGTGGTTAATTTTACCTGGAAATAATTGTGCATTAAGGCAAAGGAATCAGTAGGTACCATAGGAGAATAAGGACAATGATTATCACAGTATTTCACCTCACTCATACATAATCACTGTCTTCTCAGCACACTTATTCCCCTATAATTTTTACAATCTCTTTTGTCCCCCTTCCCTTTATATAAAGGAACTATACACACTACCAATCCCTAGGTACCTTCCCCTCTTTCATACATTCTCTTTCTTTCTTTCAACGCACCAGCCATATTCCACCGAGGCAGGGTGGCCCAAAAGAAAAATGAAAGTTTCTCCTTTTACATTTAGTAATATATACAGGAAAAAGGGTTACTAGTCCCTTGCTCCTGGCATTTTAGTCGACTCTTACAACGCGCAGGACTTATGGAGGAAGAATTCTGTTCCACTTCCCCATGGAGATAAGTGGAAATAAACAAGAACAAGAACTAGTAAGAAAAATACAAGAAAACATAAGCTTGTACATGCATGTGTAGTGTGACCTTAATGTAAGTAGAAGTAGCAAGACCTACCTGAAATCTTGCATGTTTATGAGACACAAAAAAAACATCAGCAATCCTACCATCATGCAAAACAATTACAGGCTTTCATTTTACACTCACTTGGCAGGACGGTAGTACCTTCCTGGGCAGTTGCTGTCTACCAACCTACTACATTTATTAAACAAAAATACCAACCACTACAACACTATATCTCCCCATGCTTTTAACATTTCTGTCATGATCCCATCTGTTCCAGCTGCTTTACCTTAAAAGTTCCTCCAAATATTCCCACCATCTACCCAATACCTCCAGCTCCTCATCTACTAACTCCCATACTCTGTTTTTAACTGACAAATCCATTCGTTCCCTAGGCTTTCTTAACTTGTGTTAAGGATATTGTATAGAAATACTGAATGTGAATGATTCTTTATAATCCAATTTTTAGTTCTATATTTGAAAAAAAGATAAAGAATTTCAGCATTGTTGAATGATCCTTTGAATCAAGATTATGCAATTTTCAATTAATTAAGATTTGGTGCTTTGCCTGACAATTAGCATTAAATGCTATAAATTAAAAGATATGACATAAGATGCACTCTACAAAAAAAAAAGTTAGAGAAAAAACTATTACTGTTACCTGCAAAGATTACAGGCACAAAATAAATGGACCCAGAATGGTCTTCAGTATTCACAAACTGTTATAATTTTCTACCATTTACCACTTACAAGGGGATTAAAAAAATGAGATATGACAATAAAAAAAAGAGGGCTAAAGACACTGACCAACACCCGATCATTTACTGACCTTCAATACTCAGTAGTAGTTAAATGAAACTAATGCCACAATGCTCAAAAAAATCCACTACCATACTTCAGTGCTTAGATGTAAAATAATCTACTTACCACTTATCCTCATTCTTTTTTTTTTTTTTAACAAGTCTGCCATCTCCCACCGACGCAGGGTGACCCAAAAAAGAAAGAAAATCCCCAAAAAGAAAATACTTTCATCATCATTCAACACTTTCACCTCACTCACACATAATCACTGTTTTTGCATAGGTGCTTAGAATACAACAATTTAGAAGCATATACCTATAAAGATACACAACATATCCCTCCAAACTGCTAATATCCCGAACCCCTTCTTCAAAGTGCAGGCATTGTACTTCCCATTTCCAGGACTCAAGTCCGGCTATATAAAAATAACCGGTTTCCCTGAATCCCTTCACTAAATATTACCCTGCTCTCACTCCAACAGATCGTCAGGTCCCAAATACCATTCGTCTCCATTCACTCCTTTCGAAAACACTCATGCACGCCTGCTGGAAGGCCAAGCCCCTCGCCCACAAAACCTCCCTTACCCCTTCCTTCCAACCTTTTCGAGGACGACCCCTACCCCGCCTTCCTTCCCCTACAGATTTACACGCTCTCCATGTAATTCTACTTTGATCCATTCTCTCTAAATGACCAAACCACCTCAACAACCCCTCTTCAGCCCTCTAATACTTTTATTAATTCCACACGTTCTCCTAATTTCCACACTCCGAATTTTCTGCATAATATTTACACCACACACTGCCCTTAGGACATCTCCACTCCCTCCAACCTCCTCCTCACTGCAGCATTTACCACCCAAGCTTCACACCCATATAAGAGTGTTGGTACTACTATACTTTCATACATTCTCTTCTTTGCATCCATAGATAACATTTTTTTGTCTCCACATATACCTCAATGCACCACTCGCCTTTTTTCCCTCATCAATTGTATGATTAACCTCATCCTTCATAAATCCATCCGCCGACACATCAATTCCCAAATACGTACCTAAAAACATTCGCTTCTTCCATACTCCTCTTCCCCAATTTGATATCCAATTTTTCTTTATCTAAATCATTTGATACCCTCATCACCTTACTCTTTTCTATGTTCACTTTCAACTTTCTACCTTTACACACACTCCCACATTCGTCCACTAACCTTTGCACTTTTTCTTTAGAATCTCCCATAAGCACAGTATCATCAGCAAAAAGTAACTGTGTCACTTCCCATTTTGTATTTAATTCCCCATAATTTAATCCCACCCCTCTCCCGAACACCCTAACATTTACTTCTTTTACAACCCCATCTCTAAATATATTAAACAACCATGGTGACATTACACATCCCTGTCTAAGACCTACTTTTACTGGGAAGTAGTCTCCCTCTCTTCTACACACCCTAACCTGGGCCTCACTATCCTCATAAAAACTCTTTACAGCATTTAGTAACTTACCACCTATTCCATATACTTGCAACATCTGCCACATTGCTCTCCTATCCACTATCATATGCTTTTTCTAAATCCATACATGCAATAAAAACTTCCCTACCTTTATCTAAATACACAGTTACTTTTTGCTGATGATACTGTGCTTATGGGAGATTCTAAAGAAAAATTGCAAAGGTTAGTGAATGAGTTTGGGAATGTGTGTAAAGGTAGAAAGTTGAAAGTGAACATAGAAAAGAGTAAGGTGATGAGGGTGTCAAATGATTTAGATAAAGAAAAATTGGATATCAAATTGGGGAGGAGGAGTATGGAAGAAGTGAATGTTTTCAGATACTTGGGAGTTGACGTGTCGGCGGATGGATTTATGAAGGATGAGGTTAATCATAGAATTGATGAGGGAAAAAAGGTGAGTGGTGCGTTGAGGCATATGTGGAGTCAAAAAACGTTATCTATGGAGGCAAAGAAGGAAATGTATGAAAGTATAGTAGTACCAACACTCTTATATGGGTGTGAAGCTTGGGTGGTAAATGCAGCAGCGAGGAGACGGTTGGAGGCAGTGGAGATGTCCTGTTTAAGGGCAATGTGTGGTGTAAATATTATGCAGAAAATTCGGAGTGTGGAAATTAGGAGAAGGTGTGGAGTTAATAAAAGTATTAGTCAGAGGGCAGAAGAGGGGTTGTTGAGGTGGTTTGGTCATTTAGAGAGAATGGATCAAAGTAGAATGACATGGAATAGCATATAAATCTATAGGGGAGGAAGGCGGGGTAGGGGTCGTCCTCGAAAGGGTTGGAGAGAGGGGGTAAAGGAGGTTTTGTGGGCAAGGGGCTTGGACTTCCAGCAAGCGTGCGTGAGCGTGTTAGATAGGAGTGAATGGAGACGAATGGTACTTGGGACCTGACGATCTGTTGGAGTGTGAGCAGGGTAATATTTAGTGAAGGGATTCAGGGAAACCGGTTATTTTCATATAGTCGGACTTGAGTCTGGAAATGGGAAGTACAATGCCTGCACTTTAAAGGAGGGGTTTGGGATATTGGCAGTTTGGAGGGATATGTTGTGTATCTTTATATGTGTATGCTTCTAGACTGTTGTATTCTGAGCACCTCTGCAAAAACAGTGATAATGTGCGAGTGTGGTGAAAGTGTTGAATGATGATGAAAGTATTTTCTTTTTGGGGATTTTCTTTCTTTTTTGGGTCACCCTGCCTCGGTGGGAGACGGCCGATTTGTTGAAAAAAAAAAAAAAAAAAAATATATGCTTCAATGTAAACACTTGATCTACACATCCCCTACCCACTATAAAACCTCCTTGCTCATCCGCAATTCTACATTCTGTCTTACCTCTAATTCTTTCAATAATAACCCTACCGTACACTTTTCCTGGTATACTCAGTAAACTTATATTATCCTCATTCATTCCTTAATAAAATGCTTGCTGTACCTCCCATGAACTCATCACGCATTTTGAACAATTTTGTGCTTTGGAGAATTCTGGGGTGCTGAAAATGAATTCAATCATAATGATAAGCAATTGACGAAAGGAAATTTTATGTATTTTTTAAACAACTAAGCACTGGGGCTACAGGAAACTGTATATATGGTTGAAGCAATCGTGAATTGTGGGTTTCAATCACGAGCCTTTTCCCTGTACAGTTTATTTACTCTTATCCCTTCCCACATCAGATAACAGCAACCAATCTGAGTCCATATCTTCATAAACACATCCAATTTGCAATTTTAAGCAGTGACCCAAGATTAGTAAAGAGTGACTAGGTTTATTTCCAAAGCAGACCAGAGTTATCTATCAATCTTTAATAAACTGGCCATTTTTATTTCTAAATTATTTCCATTTAAGTTTTAATGCCTGCAGTTTTGTAATTAAGGAATAACTAATATGTCTTGATAAATACAAATATTTATTCAGTTATCAATTAACTACCTACTGTCTTAATTAAACTTAAAAATTACTAATAACAATACTCTATTAAACAATTGCAAGCACAGGGATGAAAATGATAATGTACCATTCACTCATGAAAACTACTTACATTAACTATTAATGCTGACACTCAGTGTATGAGACACACAACATACTGACCTAGTGCTTATGGCCTCAATTCAGACTGACCAAGATGAGCACCAAAATTTTAACCCGATCATGGCTTTATTCATGACTATGCTCTAGTTCTGCAACACTCATCTCAAGCTTGTATCAATAACAAACAGACACTAGAAAAATACAAATATATATATCAAGAGCAAAGCTCCAACAAAATGATGGAGCATTGTGTTTTTCTTTCATTAAAATATGTTATAAAATTATGGTAGCATTCAAATAAATCTGCATCTTTTAACCACTTTTGCTACTCTCTTTACTACACAAGCAGAGATGGAGTAGGTTTCTTGCCCGGCCAAGCTTCCTTGGCATATTTCTTCTTCTTAGGTTCATCTGGATCCACAGTAACTTGAAGATGAGCAGGTACCTCAGGAGCAACAGGTTCTGGAGGTACAAGTTCGACCTGCACAAATATTGAAAGCTTGTAATACTACAGATTCATTAAATAAAAAATCAATGCTCTGAAAATGTGCTTTCACAATTAATTTGTAATTGTATATTCTATATGGTACTTCATTACAGTAAAACCTCAATTTAATGGATCTCAATAGAATTCCAATTTAATGGACAAAATTTATTATCCAGAGAAAGTCCAAAAACAAATCCATTGTAACAAGTCTAAACTGTCCATTATTGTTACGGTTTGCTGGGTAAATTTATTTCAGATTTAATACAGTTCATTAAATCAAGAATTTTCCATTATTATGATCATAGAAAAGCAATCTCATCATTTGGATTTAACAAAGAATTGGTGTTACTGGACACTTTCTCCACTATTAGTACATTAAGTCAGGGTTTCAATGTACAATATACCATACAATCAATAGATTTTAATCCTAATAAACTACTGTACTATCATACACCAACAGATCTATACTTAATTCCATACATCTTGTGTAGGAACTGGAAATCTTGTTTTTTTTTGTTTGTTTGTTTACAAAGACTGTCCCCTCAAAGTGGGTGCCTTGATGCTGATGAAAGACTCTTGATCAAAGGAAATGAAGTTACCTTCCCCTTCTTAGTTCTTATTACATTCATGGGAGGAGTGCTAAATCTGCAGAGTCATAGTGCCTAGGGAAACAGAAGGCATACAGACTTGATTCAAGGAATTATAGCATAGGTCCAATTCCTTAGATCAAGAGCCCCTCACCAGCATCAAGGAACCTCCTTTGAAGGGTCCCCTTCCTAAGATCAATGCTGATTATCTCCCACTGTCTAATAATTTACTACAACTTACCTCTGGTGCAGGATTTGGTAGTGGTAAACCAAGTTTTGATGATAACAGCGAGGAAAACATGGAGTGATGAGCCCCTCCATGCCCATGTTGTTCTGGTGGTAAATCTGAATATAAGCCATCACTACGAGGAAACTGAATCTGATTTTTATTACCTCCTTCATGATCGCGTCCACTGCTACTAGACACAAGTCCGCTAATGTCCAACCGCCGTTTCTGTTTGTGATTTATTTCATTAACACTCAAGAATATCTAAAGAAAGTAAATTATTTAAGGATGAACTAAGCCTCTATATAAGTTCCTAAATGTTTTTAAGCAACTGTAAAGTATAACCATGTATAACATGTATGTATACAAAATGTGCTACACAACCTACAGTTTCCTCTCAATACATTCAACTTCAACTGAAAATAATTTTTCATATTTATATAAATTAAACTATTTTTTTTTAACACATTGGCCATTTCCCACCGAGGCAGGGTGACCCAAAAAAAAGACCCCCCTCCCCCCCCAAAAAAGAAAATTCATCATCATTCAACACTTTCACCATCACTCATACATAATCACCGTCTTTGCAGAGGTACTCAGATACAACAGTTTAGATGTCCCTCCAAACTGCCAATATTCCAAACCCCTCCTTTGAAGTGCAGGCATTGTACTTTCCATATCCAGGACTCAAGTCCAGCTAACCGTTTTCCCTGAATCCCTTCACAAAATATTACCCTGCTCACACTCCAACAGCTTGTCAGGTCCTAAAAACTATTTGTTTCCATTCACTCCTATCTAAGACGCTCACAAATGCCTGCTGTATGTCCAAGCCCTTTGCACACAAACTCTTTTATCCCCTCCCTCCATTCTTTTCTAGGACAATTCTTTCCCCTCCTCCCCTCCACCACAGATTTATATACCCTCCAAGTCATCCTATTTCACTCCATCCTCTCTAAATAACCAAACCACCTTAACAACCCCTCCTCACCCCTTTGAATAATACTTTTAGTAACTCCACACCTCCTAATTTCCACACTAATTTTTACATTTTTTTATCCATCTTTTTTTTGTTGCTTATGGAGACCATTTCAAGAAAGTGTGTATACATCAGTCCATCTACATTCCTCAAGATCAAAAAAAAAAAAAATCTCTATTTCACTTTAACCCTTAAACAGTCCAAACAGATCGACGTTCAAATTCATAGTGCTACAAAAGTAGATCTACTTTTTTTTACATATTTTCAAATATAACAAAAAAATAATGTAGATAAAAGTTTTTTTTACACGTTTTCAAATGTAAAACAAAAAAGAAGATCTACATTCTTTTACATACTTTCAGATGCTTAAAAAACGTATATATACGTTTGGACCGTTTAAGGGTTAATGCAGTAAGTACTGCACTTCGATTCTCTAATTGTCTAAACTGTATTGACATTATAAGACTGTCAATTATCCATCCATAGCTAGTGCTTGTATTTCTTATGCAATGTTATATCAAGCACAATTTTTCAAAAATATCCTTTTATATCTAGTTCACCATATTTTGATTTGCAAATTATTGCACACATTTTTCTTCAGTATTTTATCATCATATACAGACATGCATACTCCATTCCAAAACATCATTTCAGCAGAGAATCTATTTAACTAATCTACTGTACAATGGAACCTTGGCTTACGAACTTAATCCGTTCCATGACCTTGTTTGTATCCTGATCTGTTCGTATGCTGTGTCAATTTTCCTCATTTAAATTAATTGAAATGCAATTAATCCATTCCAGCCTCTCAGGAGGCATGACAAAATAATGCTAATATCAACTCTACAGCTTATTTCTTCTTTCTTTCTTTCTTTCAACACACCTGCCGTATCCCACCAAGGTGGGGTGGCCCAAAAGGAAAAACGAAAGTTTCTCCTTTTACATTTAGTAATATATACAGGAGAAGAGGTTACTAGCCCCTTGCTCCCGGCATTTTAGTCGCCTCTTACAACACGCATGGCTTACGGAGGAAGAATTCTGTTCCACTTCCCCATGGAGGTAAGAGGAAATAAACAAGAACAAGAACTAGTAAGAAAAATGGAAGAAAACCCAGAGGGGTGTGTATATACACATATGCTTGTACATGTATGTGTAGTGTGACCTAAGTGTAAGTAGAAGTAGCAAGACGCACCTGAAACCTTGCATGTTTATGAGAAAGAAAAATGGACACCAGCAATCCTACCATCATGTAAAACAATTACAGGCTTTCGTTTTACACTCACTTGGCAGGACAGTAGTACCTCCCTGGGCGGTTGCTGTCTACCAACCTACTACCTACTATATTATACGTGTTATTATTATTAGCAGTAGGTACGTATTATAATAATAATTTTTTTTTTTTCAACAAGTCAGCCGTGTCCCACCGAGGCAGGGTGACCCAAAAAAGAAAGAAAATCCCCAAAAAGAAAATACTTTCATCATCATTCAACACTTTCACCACACTCACACATTATCACTGTTTTTGCAGAGGTGCTCAGAATACAACAGTTTAGAAGCATATACGTATAAAGATACACAACATATCCCTCCAAACTGCCAATATGCCAAACCCCTCCTTTAAAGTGCAGGCATTGTACTTCCCATTTCCAGGACTCAAGTCCGACTATATGAAAATACGTAACCGGTTTCCCTGAATCCCTTCACTAAATATTACCCTGCTCACACTCCAACAGATCGTCAGGTCCCAAGTACCATTCGTCTCCATTCACTATCTAACACGCTCATGCACACTTGCTGGAAGCCCAAGCCCCTCTCCCACAGAACCTCCGTTACCCCCTCTCTCCAACCCTTTCGAGGGCGACCCCTACCCCGCCTTCCTTTCCCTATAGATTTATATGCTTTCCATGTCATTCTACTTTGATCCATTCTCTCTAAATGACCAAACCACCTAAACAACCCCTCTTCTGCCCTCTGGCTAATACAGTGGAACCTCAAATATCAAACTTTCTTCAGTCCAGAAGGCTGTTCGAGTGCCTTTACCGAATGAATTTATTCCCATCAGGAATAATGTAAATTAGATTAGTCCATTTCAGACCCTCAAAAATGCACTTATAAAAGCACTTACAAAAATACACTTACATAATTGGTTGTATTGGGAGCAGTTCGATTTTTGAGGTTCCACTGTACTTTTATTAACTCCAAACCTTTTCCTAATTTCCACACTCCGAATTTTCTGCATAATATTTACACCACACATTGCCCTTATTAATTTAGGGAACTGGAGCACAGATCCAATTCCCTAGATCAAGGGACCTTCACCAAGGAACCTCCCTTGAGGGGTGAGGATGTATCCTGAAATTTCGTTCATATCCAAAAGCAAAAAATCGACTGAATGACGGTTCGTATCATGAAAAGTTCATATGGTGGGGCGTTCGTAAGCCGAGGTTCCACTGCATTTTGTCCATATATGGATTTGTCAGTTAAAAACAGAGTAGGGGAGTTAGTAGATGGGGAGATGGAGGTATTAGGTAGATGGCGAGAATATTTTGAGGAACTTTTAAATGTTAAGGAAGAAAGAGAGGCAGTAATTTCATGCACTGGTCAGGGAGGTATACCATCTTTTAGGAGTGAAGAAGAGCAGAATGTAAGTGTGGGGGAGGTACGTGAGGCATTACGTAGAATGAAAGGGGGTAAAGCAGCTGGAACTGATGGGATCATGACAGAAATGTTAAAAGCAGGGGAGGATATAGTGTTGGAATGGTTGGTACTTTTGTTTAATAAATGTATGAAAGAGGGGAAGGTACCTAGGGAATTGGCGGAGAGCATGTATAGTCCCTTTATATAAAGGGAAAGGGGACAAAAGAGACTGTAAAAATTATAGAGGAATAAGTTTACTGAGTATACCAGGAAAAGTGTACAGTAGGGTTATAATTGAAAGAATTAGAGGTAAGACAGAATGTAGGATTGCGGATGAGCAAGGAGGTTTCAGAGTGGGTAGGGGATGTGTAGATCAAGTGTTTACATTGAAGCATATATGTGAACAGTACTTAGATAAAGGTAGGGAAGTTTTTATTGCATTTATGGATTTAGAAAAGGCATATGATAGAGTGGATAGAGGAGCAATGTGGCAGATGTTGCAAGTATATGGAATAGGTGGTAAGTTATTAAATGCTGTAAAGAGTTTTTATGAGGATAGTGAGGCTCAGGTTAGGGTGTGTAGAAGAGAGGGAGACTACTTCCCGGTAAAAGTAGGTCTTAGACAGGGATGTGTAATGTCACCATGGTTGTTTAATATATTTATAGATGGGGTTGTAAAGGAAGTAAATGCTAGGGTGTTCGGGAGAGGGGTGGGATTAAATTTTGGGGAATCAAATTCAAAATGGGAATTGACACAGTTACTTTTTGCTGATGATACTGTGCTTATGGGAGATTCTAAAGAAAAATTGCAAAGGTTAGTGGATGAGTTTGGGAATGTGTGTAAAGGTAGAAAGTTGAAAGTGAACATAGAAAAGAGTAAGGTGATGAGGGTATCAAATGATTTAGATAAAGAAAAATTGGATATCAAATTGGGGAGGAAGAGTATGGAAGAAGTGAATGTTTTCAGATACGTACTTGGGAGTTGACGTGTCGGCGGATGGATTTATGAAGGATGAGGTTAATCATAGAATTGATGAGGGAAAAATGGTGAGTGGTGCGTTGAGGCATATGTGGAGTCAAAAAACGTTATCTATGGAGGCAAAGAAGGGAATGTATGAAAGTATAATAGTACCAACACTCTTATATGGGTGTGAAGCTTGGGTGGTAAATGCAGCAGCGAGGAGACGGTTGGAGGCAGTGGAGATGTCCTGTTTAACCCTTTGACTGTCGAAGGGCCAAATCCTGAAGTTGCTTCTGGTGTCGCAAAATATTCGAAAAAAAAAAAATTATTTTTTCTTATGAAATGATAGAGATTCTTTTCCCGATTGTAAAGACACCAAAAAAACGAAATTTGGTGGAAAACTGACGGAATTACGCTCTCGCGAAGTTAGCGACTTCGGCGATATTTAAAAATCGGCAATTTCGCCCACTTTGAGCCCTATTTTCGGCTAATTCCGTTATTCCAGTCAACCAAACTCATAACTATTTCTTCAGAACTCGATTTTTTCTATCGATTGAGTACAAGAAACTGCCCATTTACCGATTTCAACTACCCAATAACATGGTCAGAAATTTGCAATTTGGCCAATTTCACGAAAATTAAAAAATACGACAATTTCAAAATAAGGTCCAGAATGAACAATGCAGACATTCCTGGCTCTAAAATAACATTTTCTTTGTTCATCAGTCATGTCTCCAGGTCCCTGTGATATTACTCTTGCTTTTTATTTTGAAATTTTATTCAAACAAAAAATAGAAGATTTACTGTTATGCAGACTACTGCAATACTGTAATAATTGTAAAAATTACATCAACCCATTCATGACTGCGTATTAGAATGGCTAGTTGGACATTTATTGGAAAATGACATCATTTGTTCACTTTTGAACATCGGCAAAAATCAAACATTTCCTGTACTTTGTGCTCCATTTTCAGGTTCTTTTTATAGTAAAATTAATCAAAATCACCTCCATTTCTATAATATAGTTTCCATTCTATCAAATGAGACCAAGAAAACGAGAATACAACCACAAATACTATACGAAAATAGACCACAAAGTCGGCATTTTAATTAAAAAAAACGGTCGGAGTTTTTTTTTTCTCATTATGCACTGCGTGCTCCAGGAATTTTTTTATGTGGTGCACACTGACCACACAGACCCATTCTCTCACATGTGGGCCTACTAGCTTTCTCCTGCCTGATTTGAAGCCGCTAGAATTTATGAGTATATATACGTCAAACACGGTACCTCGCAAACGTATATATACGGCCGCGACAGTCAAAGGGTTAAGGGCAATGTGTGGTGTAAATATTATGCAGAAAATTTGGAGTGTGGAAATTAGGAAAAGGTGTGGAATTAATAAAAGTATTAGTCAGAGGGCAGAAGAGGGGTTGTTGAGGTTAGAGAGAATGGATCAAAGTAGAATGACATGGAAAGCATATAAATCTATAGGGGAAGGAAGGCGGGGTAGGGGTCGTCCTCGAAAGGGTTGGAAAGAGGGGGTAAAGGAGGTTTTGTGGGCAAGGGGCTTGGACTTCCAGCAAGCGTGCGTGAGCGTGTTAGATAGGAGTGAATGGAGACGAATGGTACTTGGGACCTGACGATCTGTTGGAGTGTGAGCAGGGTAATATTTAGTGAAGGGATTCAGGGAAACCGGTTATTTTCATATGGTCGGACTTGAGTCCTGGAAGTGGGAAGTACAATGCCTGCACTTTAAAGGAGGGGTTTGGGATATTGGCAGTTTGGAGGGATATGTTGTGTATCTTTATATGTGTATGCTTCTAAACTGTTGTATTCTGAGCACCTCTGCAAAAACAGTAATAATGTGTGAGTGTGGTGAAAGTGTTGAATGATGATGAAAGTATTTTCTTTTTGGGGATTTTCTTTCTTTTTTGGGTCACCCTGCCTCAGTGAGAGACGGCCGACTTGTTGAAAAAAAAAAAAAAAAAAAAATCTACTAATCCCTGTTCTTTTGGTTTTTTCACTTTTCTTGAATTTTTTTATTCTCCGACTATTATTTTCCCATCATATTTTGTTTTTGCTTGTGTCTTTTAAGCATCCTGTACTGCTTCAAGTTACAACTGTTTAAAAAAAATATATGTATCTGAGAAGACTTACCTTTGAAGGCACCACAGTAGTTTGAACAAGGTTTCTGAATCTCCCAACACTTGGATCTACATCTTCTGGGTTTATGACATCCTCTTCATCTTTAAAGCTTACATTATATTTGTGCCTTTTAAGTCCTCTTTGTTTGGGATCATCTTCACCAATACCTAACATTGATATACGTCTATTGTGGGCAGTGTTAAATTCTGTTAGGTTCTGAAATGAAGAAAAATTAATGAGAACAGAATAGCATTTTCCTGAAAAATGTGCACAGTGAAGTGTTAAAAATGCAATATTGTAATATATACGCACTGTAATTTGTATTATGCACATCTTTGACACCAGAGATTTCAAACGTGAAAGTACTATATATTGAAAGTTGTTTGATCTGACCTCTAAATAACAGATCGTGTCAAGTATATAACCACCCTTTGTATGGAAAATACTGGTATAAACTATAAGAAAGCCAAACAGTCTCCAGGTGCAAGGTAGGGCTAGGGTAGTGGCCATGAGCAGTCATTGGAAAACTAATATTTTTTGTTTGAAAAATACAATGTGTAACAGAGGAGGAGCCAATGTGAAACCATGGAAGTCAAAGACAGAAATGAAAATAAAACCATCAATCCCTATCCTAGGGATTAAATTAGCCTTGATATTAGTATCAAGATTAATCTTGACCTTAATGACTGTCTGGTAGTTGATTAACTCAAGTGATATATTATATTACTATTATTACAGAACTGAAGAAGAGAAAATAGTGGTGGTGCATTGAGGCCTCTCAGGAGACAAAGAAGGTAAACCATAGAGGTAAAAAAAAGGAATGTACCATAGAATAGTGGTACCAACACTGGTGTACAAGTGTGAAGCATGGAAGTTGCAATGAGGAGAAAACTGGAGGCAGCAGAGATGTTTAAGAGTAATATATAATGTGAATGTTATGCAGAGAATTCAGAGTTTGGAGATTAAAAGGTGTGAAATTATAAGTATTATTTGGTGGGCTGAGAAGGGTTGTTGAAATAGTTAGGACATTTAGAGAGGATGGAGCAAAATAGGATGACTAGGAGGGCATATAAATTTGGGGTGGAAGGAAGGAGGGGTAGAGATCATCCTAGGAAAGGTTGGAGGAAGGGGGTAAAGGAAGTTTTGAGTGCTAGGAGCTTGAACATCGAACAGGCTTGTGTAACATGATAGATAGGATAGAAGGCCAGTGGCTTTTTATGAGTTGACATACTGTTGGATTGTGAACAAGATAACATTTATGAAGGGATTCAGGAAAACTTGTTAGTTAGACTTGAGTTCTGGAGATGGAAAGCACAGTGCCTGCACTCTAAAGGAGGGGTGACAATGTTATGGTTTTAAGGGTCATCTGAACTGTGATGTTGGCACCCTTCTGACAAGACAGGTGACTGAATGAGTGACTGAAAATGTTTTCTTCCTTGTCGCACTAACTTGGTGGGAGACAGTCAGTTATAACAAATAATAATAATAATAATAATAATTTTATTATTATTTTTTATTATCACACTGGCCGATTCCCACCAAGGCAGGTTGGCCCGAAAAAGAAAAACTTTCACCATCATTCACTCCATCACTGTCTTGCCAGAAGGGTGCTTTACACTACAGTTTTTAAAATGCAACATTTACACCCCTCCTTCAGAGTGCAGGCACTGTACTTCCCATCTCCAGGACTCAAGTCCGGCCTGCCGGTTTCCCTGAACCCCTTCATAAATGTTACTTTGCTCACACTCCAACAGCACGTCAAGTATTAAAAACCATTTGTCTCCATTCACTCCTATCAAACACGCTCACTCATGCCTGCTGGAAGTCCAAGCCCCTCTCACACAAAACCTCCTTTACCCCCTCCCTCCAACCTTTCCTAGGCCGACCCCTACCCCGCCTTCCTTCCACTACAGACTGATACACTCTTGAAGTCATTCTGTTTCGCTCCATTCTCTCTACATGTCCGAACCACCTCAACAACCCTTCCTCAGCCCTCTGGACAACAGTTTTGGTAATCCCGCACCTCCTCCTAACTTCTAAACTACGAATTCTCTGCATTATATTCACACCACACATTGCCCTCAGACATGACATCTCCACTGCCTCCAGCCTTCTCCTCGCTGCAACATTCATCACCCATGCTTCACACCCATATAAGAGCGTTGGTAAAACTATACTCTCATACATTCCCCTCTTTCCTCCAAGAACAAAGTTCTTTGTCTCCACAGACTCCTAAGTGCACCACTCACCCTTTTCCCTCATCAATTCTATGATTCACTTCATCTTTCATAGACCCATCCGCTGACACGTCCACTCCCAAATATCTGAATACATTCACCTCCTCCATACTCTCTCCCTCCAATCTGATATCCAATCTTTCATCACCTAATCTTTTGTTATCCTCATAACCTTACTCTTTCCTGTATTCACCTTTAATTTTCTTCTTTTGCACACCCTACCAAATTCATCCACCAATCTCTGCAACTTCTCTTCAGAATCTCCCAAGAGCACAGTGTCATCAGCAAAGAGCAACTGTGACAACTCCCACTTTGTGTGTGATTATCTTTTAACTCCACGCCTCTTGCCAAGACCCTCGCATTCACTTCTCTTACAACCCCATCTATAAATATATTAAACAACCACGGTGACATCACACATCCTTGTCTAAGGCCTACTTTTACTGGGAAATAATTTCCCTCTTTCCTACATACTCTAACTTGAGCCTCACTATCCTCGTAAAAACTCTTCACTGCTTTCAGTAACCTACCTCCTACACCATACACCTGCAACATCTGCCACATTGCCCCCCTATCCACCCTGTCATACACCTTTTCCAAACCCATAAATGCCACAAAGACCTCTTTAGCCTTATCTAAATACTGTTCACTTATATGTTTCACTGTAAACACCTGGTCCACACACCCCCTACCTTTCCTAAAGCCTCCTTGTTCATCTGCTATCCTATTCTCCGTCTTACTCTTAATTCTTTCAATAATAACTCTACCATACACTTTACCAGGTATACTCAACAGACTTATCCCCCTATAATTTTTGCACTCTCTTTTATCCCCTTTGCCTTTATACAAAGGAACTATGCATGCTCTCTGCCAATCCCTAGGTACCTTACCCTCTTCCATACATTTATTAAATAATTGCACCAACCACTCCAAAACTATATCCCCACCTGCTTTTAACATTTCTATCTTTATCCCATCAATCCCGGCTGCCTTACCCCGTTTCATTTTACCTACTGCCTCATGAACTTCCTCCACACTCACAACTGGCTCTTCCTCACTCCTGCAAGATGTTATTCCTCCTTGTCCTATACACGAAATCACAGCTTCCCTATCTTCATCAACTTTAACAATTCCTCAAAATATTCCCTCCATCTTCCCAATACCTCTAACTCTCCATTTAATAACTCTCCTCTCCTATTTTTAACTGACAAATCCATTTGTTCTCTAGGCTTCCTTAACTTGTTAATCTCACTCCAAAACTTTTTCTTATTTTCAACAAAATTTGTTGAAAACATCTCACCCACTCTCTCATTTGCTCTCTTTTTACATTGCTTCAACACTCTCTTAACCTCTCTCTTTTCTCCATATACTCTTCCCTCCTTGCATCACTTCTACTTTGTAAAAACTTCTCATATGCTAACTTTTTCTCCCTTACTACTCTCTTTACATCATCATTCCACCAATCGCTCCTCTTCCCTCCCGCACCCACTTTCCTGTAACCACAAACTTCTGCTGAACACTCTAACACTACATTTTTAAACCTACCCCATACCTCTTCGACCCCATTGCCTATGCTCTCATTTGCCCATCTATCCTCCAATAGCTGTTTATATCTTACCCTAACTGCCTCCTCTTTTAGTTTATAAACCTTCACCTCTCTCTTCCCTGATGCTTCTATTCTCCTTGTATCCCATCTACCTTTTACTCTCAGTGTAGCTACAACTAGAAAGTGATCTGATATATCTGTGGCCCCTCTATAAACATGTACATCCTGAAGTCTACTCAACAGTCTTTTATCTACCAATACATAATCCAACAAACTACTGTCATTTCGCCCTACATCATATCTTGTATACTTATTTATCCTCTTTTTCTTAAAATATGTATTACCTATAACTAAACCCCTTTCTATACAAAGTTCAATCAAAGGGCTCCCATTATCATTTACACCTGGCACCCCAAACTTACCTACCACACCCTCTCTAAAAGTTCTCCTACTTTAGCATTCAGGTCCCCTACCACAATTACTCTCTCACTTGGTTCAAAGGCTCCTATACATTCACTTAACATCTCCCAAAATCTCTCTCTCTCCTCTACATTCCTCTCTTCTCCAGGTGCATACACGCTTATTATGACCCACTTTTCGCATCCAACCTTTACTTTAATCCACATAATTCTTGAATTTACACATTCATATTCTCTTTTCCTCCTTCCATAACTGATCATTTAACATTACTGCTACCCCTTCCTTTGCTCTAACTCTCTCAGATACTCCAGATTTAATCCCATTTATTTCCCCCCACTGAAACTCCCCTACCCCCTTCAGCTTTGTTTCGCTTAGGGCCAGGACATCCAACTATTTTTCATTCATAACATCAGCAATCATCTGTTTCTTGTCATCCGCACTACATCCACGCACATTTAAGCATCCCAGTTTTATAAAGTTTTTCTTCTTCTCTTTTTTAGTAAATGTCTACAGGAGAAGGGGTTACTAGCCCATTGCTCCCGGCATTTTAGTCGCCTCATACGACACGCATGGCTTACGGAGGAAAGATTTAGAAAAAGGAGAAAAACCTAGATGTATGTATATATATATATGCATGTGCATGTCTGTGAAGTGTAACCAAAGTGTAAGTAGGAGTAGCAAGATATCCCTGTTATCTAGCGTGTTTATGAGACAGAAAAAGAAACCAGCAATCCTACCATCATGCAAAACAGTTACAGGTTTCTGTTTCACAGTCATCTGGCAGGACGGTAGTACTTCCCTGGGTGGTTGCTGTCTACCAACCTACTACCTGCAGTTTAAAAACTGTAGTGTAAAGCACCCTTCTGGCAAGACAGTGATGGAGTGAATGATGGTGAAAGTTTTTCTTTTTCGGGCCACCCTGCCTTGGTGGGAATCGGCCAGTGTGATAATAAAAATGATAAAAAAAAAATAATAATATTATTATTATTATTTTTTTATTATTATATTAACTTACTGGCTTCTCCCACCCACAAAGGTAGAAATATATTCACTGTCATTCATTCAATCACTGTCTTGCCAGAAGTCTGCTGATATTACAGTTCAGCTGATCCTCCAAATTCCAAAATCCTACTCTCCCCTTTTGGACAAGCAGTGAAGTTCCCAATTCCAGGACTCTTTGTCTGGCTAACCAGTTTCCCCTGAACAAATTCATAGGTACCTTGCTTACACTCCAACAGCATGCCAAGCCATAAAAGCCGCTAGTCTCCATTCAATATGACCTATTACGCTCACATAATCCCACTAAATGTTCAAGCCTCTAGCACTCAACCTCCCCCCCATCCCTTCAACACTTATAATCATGTATGGCATCAGGAGAATGAGAGGCAAATTCAATCCAAGGAAATGTAGGGTAGTGTCAATTCTTTGGATCAAAAAGCTATTAATCAACAACAAGGCACACCTCCTTTGAAGGGCCAAGCGAGATAAAGAGTTAATAACGAGTATGAAATGAGCTTAAAAACAGCAGCATGCACTGGATTGTATTAGTAATTGCACATGTGTAAAACTGCTGAAACCCATAAAAATATGAATAAAAAAGTATGCTTTATCTTATGGTTAGTTATTAAATTAGGGGGATAGTGTACCTAATAAAAATAAAAGTGGAAACTTCGATAACTCGTAAATAATCAATACAATGCTATGATTTGTCAAATGCTTGGATGTCCAAGCCCCTCACATACCAAACCTCTCTCACCCCCTCTCTCCAACATATCCTAGGATGACCTCTAACATCCCCCCTATCCTCCACTACAGATTTATACTCTCCAAGGCATCCTATTTTCCTCCATCCTCTCCAGTGTACAACCACTTCAATAACCCCTCCTCAGCCCTCTAAATAATACTCTTAGTAACCCCCATACCTCCTCATCTCCAAACTATGAATTCTCTGTGCAATATTCAAACCACACATTGCCCTCAAATATGACATGTCCATTGCCTCCAGTGCTTCACTCCCATAATAGAGTGTTGGTACCACTATACTTTGATACTTTTTTTTTTTTTGCCTCCAACAATAACGTTCTTTGTCTCCACAGATGCCTCAATATACTGCCCACCTTTTCCTTCTCATCAATTCTATGCCTCACCTCATCTTTCATAGAACCCTCCATTGATATGTCTACTCCGAAATATCTGAACACATTCACTTCCTCTATACTCCTGCCTTCCAACCTGATATCTAGTCTTTCATTACCTAATTTTTTTGTTATTCTCATCACCCTGCTTCTTCCAATATTCAGTTTTACTTTTCTTGTTTTACATACACTCTTGAATTCTTCCACTGACCTTTGCAACTTCTGTGCAGAATCTCCCAACAGCACTGTTTCATTGGCAAAAAGCAACTGTGACAACTCTCACTCTGTATTAGATTCTTAATCTTTTAATCCCACACCTCTCCCCAACACCCTAGCATACGCTTCTTTTACAACCCTCATTTAAAAATCTGTTAAACAACGACGGTGACATTACGCATCCCTAAGGTGTACTTTTACTCAAAAATAATCTTCTTTCCTACATACCCTAACTCAAACCTTACTATCCTCATAAAAGCTCTCAACTGCTTTAACCCTTTCACTGTCCAGGCCCCTGACAAATAAAAAAAACTTGTGGTTACAGTGTCCACATTTAAAAAAAAAAATTCTCCTGAAATGGTAGAAAATCATTGCCTAAAGGTAATGACACCAAAAACATGAAATCTGAAGAAAAACTTATGGAATTTCAAAGGCATAAAGTTAGCAGTCTTGGCAAATTTTATGCACTGGCGATTTTGCTGAATTTAAGTCCCATTTTAAATAAATTCCATTGCTCAATTTGACCAAATTCTTAGCTATTTTACTAGTATGCCTTCCATTCTAGCAACTGAGTACAAGAAACCACCCATTCAGTTACCAAAACTACCCTCTAAAGTGCACAAAATTCAGAAATTTGGCAAATTTTATGGAAAATTAAAATATTCTAATTTAAAAATAGTTCAAAATAAACAGTGCAGCCATTACAGGCACTAAAACAACATTTCCTCTGTGTAATAATTATATCCCAAAGCTTCTCCTATAATACACTTTTCTTTCATTGTCAATTCATCACACAAAAAATTGAAGATTTTCCCTATTTTTCAGATAATAAAATATAACCAGGAATTATGTGTCATGGTTTTCGGTGTCCCAATAATTGAATTAGACCTAGTAAAGTCCCATAAAACATTTTGGGGGGGTGTAGGGATGGTCTTACCTGTTCTCAGGAATATTGTCAAAAATCAAACATTTCTGTTACTTTGAGGCCAATTTCAAGCTACTTCTGGCTCTGGAACCAACTAAAATCATCTTTATTTCAGTAGTAAGTTTTCCATTCTATCAAATTATATGAAGAAACAGCCAATTTTCAATCAAACACACGGTCAGTTTTGCTTTTCACGTGCACCACATGAGGTACATGGAAAAATCTAATTACAGTGATGAGCAATAAATCCTGCAGACTGATATGATAAAGGATGCATTGACAAAAGGCACAGGTGTAAGCAGCAACTCACATTACTGTAAATATATAAGATTGCACCAAAACTCTTGATAAACACCGATGAACCAGAATTGGAAGAGTTCACCAGCAAAGTACCAGGAGATGAGCATAATACCTGTACTCTTAAGGTGGTAGACTACATTCACTTCAGTTCTTCCTACAGTACTCCTTCCAGCCAAGGTGGTGTTTGGATACTGTACATCACATGTACATATGTAAATATGAAGAAATTTGAAAATTACTACTACTAAAGGCATTGTTGAGTTTTGTATCCTATGTTTGTAAACTGCAGATTTTATGTATTGGTAATAGTATATTGTATTATGAAAAAGTTTGGTAGTTTCAGAAAGCACCTGGCCGTGAAGTGTCTGGGTCAGTATGGCTGCACTTTAATGTGCTAACATTTTTTAAATATAGTATAAGCAAATATCAACAGATTTATACAGTGTTTTTTTATTAAAACTTACATTTAATGAAAAATAGGCTACTACCTACATCTAACTCTGTTTCAGTCTCTGGGAGGCCTAAAAGACCTCCATCACTATCTTCTGTCATTCTCTCCAGCTCCTCCATGACAGGCTTGGGCGCAGTTTGAGGTCTTTCTCTTAAGGTGTACATTCTTGTGGATGCCCCGAAATGAAATGTAGAGTTTACTGGAAGCTGTGTGGGTTTTTGACTTTCAAGTCTAATTTTTCCAATGTAGGTTCCATGGGCTGAAAAATAAAGGACATTTATATAAGACAGATTTGCCTTCACATTTTAGTAAATAGCTCATGACTCCTGTAATACTGTACTTGATAAATGTTTTTATTATTAACAGTGCTGAAGCATAACTGTCACAGTACCTCTCAAGAATAAGGAGAACTGTAATTTCTAAATTATTATCTATTACACTAATTGTTTGATTTTATTATTATTATTATTTTTAATGCACTGGCCATCTCCCACTGGGGCAGGGTGACCTAAAAAAAATAATGCGAGCTTTTTTTTGGAAGTTTTTTTTACATTTAGTAATTTATTATATTATAATTATCACACACATGGGGAAGTGCTAAACCCATAGGAATCACACAGTGCCAAAGGAGAAATGGGAAGCATTCACATTCAATCCAAGGAAGGGTAGGGTAGGTCCAATTCCTTGGATCAAGAGCCCCTTACCTGCATACAGGAACCTCCCTTGAGGGAACCCTGTTTGCTCAAAGCCTGGTAATTTCTCTCTTATTTACTTCCCTTCCCACAGAAAATTGGTAGATCAAATAGTAATCTCTCATATACCCACAACATGGTTGGTACATCATATTATTTACTTATTTATTGTATACAGTATAGCCTTGTGATTAAAATCACCAATACACTGCCAGTTGAAAAAATAGTTTCCTATTAGCATTCTGAGCTATAATCCCTTTTTTATAATGCTAATGTTAATTTTTGAAAAATTAGGACTCTTACCTTCTTATTTTAACATATCAGTCATTTCTCACTAAGGCAGGGTAAGCCAAAGAAGAAAAACACAATCACCATTACTTATTCTCTAGCTGTATTTCCATAAGTGTATAGACACATCAATTCAAATGATCCACCAAGCCACAGCATCCCTACTCATCCTTCCAAGTGCAGACACAATACTTCCACCTCCAGCACTTAAGTCCATCTAACAGGTTCCCTGAGTTTCTTCACAGATATCAGACTGTACAGTATACAGGTGAATGAAATAAACTTATACTGAAAGCAAAGAAAGAAAAAAAAAAAAAAAAAAAAAAATCTGAGGTAATCAAAATGGTCAAGTGTACCTAATGTAACATGGGATTATTACATTCATGGGAAAGCGCTAAACCCATAGGGGTCATACAGCACCTGAGAAATGGGAGTCAATCTGGTTTGATCTAAGGAAGGAAAGTGTAGCTCCAATTCCTCAGCTCAAGAGTGGCCCATCACCACCATCAAGGCACTCCCATGAACCGTATATAACATATTAACTGTATAGTACAACTATTCTGTTTCAAACCTATTTTGAAGCTATGTGGGAGAAAAAAAATTCTCTATATTCGTGTAACCTTTTTACATTTTGTTAGGTTAAACAACAAGGTAGTACACATAAAAGTGCAACAACCAACAACTAAAAAAAAAAATAAAAAAAAAATTACAAGGGAGAGGGAAAAAGAAGATATGTAAGAGTAAACTGAAAAAAAAAAAATGTGTAAGGTAAAGACAAACAAGTGTGAATGAGCTGATTTAGATGAGAAGTTGCAACTGCCAAGAATGCCAGTTAAGACCCCAGAACTTCTTACACAATTATTACTTTCAGAACACAGTGAGATACACATCTCAGAAAGAGAATGGATTAAAGAGAATAATTAAAGGAGACAAATGAAGTCAGGCAAGATGTTAAATACACAAACAACCCGCACATAGAAGAGAGGAGCTTACTACGACGTTTTGGTCTGACTTGGACCATTTACAAAGTCACACTAATGTAAAGGAGAGCAGGAAGGGTATATATAGGCAGGAGGTAGTAGCAGTGGTAGTACCATTACTACTACTACTACTACCTCCTGCCTATATATACCCTTCCTGCTCTCCTTTACATTAGTGTGACTTTGTAAATGGTCCAAGTCGGACCGAAATGTCATAGTAAGCTCCTCTCTTCTATGTGCGGGTTATTTGTGTATCATTCCAGTCACGGTATTGTGCCTTTTTTTTTTGTTATTTTTAAGATTTTAAATATATATAGTACTGTAGGTCACATACATAGTTTTGTAATGCAATAAGATTATAGTAAACAGGTGATAACACAATTTGCAAAATATCCAGAGTGAAGAAAAATAGCGAGATTCCAAACACCTTCATGATTTCTCATGAAAGTGCTGGGAATTTCACTATTTTTTTTCAATGTGGTTATTTTGCATATTTTAGCAAATTACTCTGGTTCAAATGAATTTAAAAATGATAAGGAATGGCACTAAACTTGTAGGAAAAGAATTTAAGAGATTCAATTGATGTAGGGATTACCCTGGAGACTAACATGATTCCAAGAAGTTAATGTAATAATGATGGATAAGGACATTATAACTGGAATTATTAAGTAAATAAAGAGTAACAATTGAAAAAGAAAAGGAAACACTAGGGATAAAATTGTTCAAAGCTTCAAGAAAGGATTACTTAAAAAACTGCAAAGGAATTGTCATTAGGCACTAAGTTAATGCTTCTTGTTAAAATGCTTCATATAGTTTAACACAAATACAGTATTAACTATACTGTAATAATAATAATAATAATAATAACAATAAAATATATAAAGTATATACAGCAGCTCATAAATTATCTGGCAATCAGTTATTTAGCGTTTAACATTACCTGGCAGTCTTGTTCGATTTGGCATGTAAAATACTAAAAAATAAAAAAAATAATGTACTGTACAACAAAAATGAACCACAGAAAGATGCAATCAACTGATGTGATATCCACCCATTTCTATTTATTATACAGTATAAAAGAGAAGCAAATAAGATAAAGTTATAGGATAAAAAATAGTTGGTGTATTATTTTTGTGACCATTGTGTACATAAGATATGAAAGAATAAGATTCATACTGCACGTGCTTATACTTACTGCTTCCAAGGTCTACAAGGAAGGCCATGTTCAGGTGCTTATGATACACTAATGAACAGTGAATTCTAGAGCATGAAGCATGGTCAATACAAAAATCATTCAGCTGAGGATTCCGACCAAATAAATAGCACTTCTTTTCGTCTATCATCAGTTTCTGAAAGGAAAACATATAACATATTATACATAGTACTGTAATGCATACAACTATAAAAACTGAAGATGTACCAGTATGAACATTAAGAAAATTCTTCCTGTTCCATGATATCTCTCCTGATAATATTCATAACTTATATGTTCACCCATCCTCTACTGACCAAGATGAATATCTGCCTATCGTCAAAACTTTACTCTCCATGGGAAAATGGAGGAGAATCCTTCCTCCATAAGCCATGGGTGTCATAAAAGGTGACTCAATGATCAGAGCAAGGGGACTAGTAACCCCTTCTCCTGTATAAATTACTACATTTAAAGAGAAAAAACTTTAGTTTTTCTTTTCAGGTCACCCTTCCTAAGTGGGAGATGGCCAGTGCATGGAAAAAAAAATGAAAAGCTTTACACATGTCTGATAAATAAATATATAAATTTTTGTTTTCAAAAAAGACACAACTGTGTTCTAGAAATTGATTTACATTAATTGTTTCTTACATGGAGAACCAGCACCAAAAATAATCTTAAAAAAAATGTGAGAAATATTCTTTTCAACCAAGTTTATCCCTCCACAACTATGGGGTTAGGGGTGGGTATCATCATCTTCGTTTAACTTATAAAAACAATAAATATGGATGAACTAGATGATTCATCCTTTGATTTTTTGGCAGGTTCTGGGGGAGAATATACAAAATGGTTCATCATCCTCAATGCCCAAACTTAGAAAATAAACATTTTAAATGAAGACAGAGGAATAATTGACCAATAAATTACTTTTGGGCTATGTAAAATGTTATATAAATAGTTGTTAAATGTTTTATAAATAGCTGTTAAATGTTGATAAAGATAGGGAAGCTGTGAGTTTGTCTATAGGGCAATGAGGAATAATATCTTGTAGGAGTGAGGAAGAACCAGTTGTGAGTGTGGGGGAAGTGAGGCAGTGGATAAAATGAAAGAGGGTAAACCAGCTGGGATTGATTGGATAAAGATAGAAATGTTGAAAGCAGGTGAGGATATAGTTTTGAAGTGGTTAGTGCTTCTGTTTAATAAATGATGATAATAAACTATGCATGATTAGGGTCACAAGTGACACGGTCCTTAGGCAAATTGATTAATTAAAACCTAACAAATCCCCAGGCCCTGATGAAGGGTTCTAAAGGAATGTAAAGAGGAGCTTGGCAAACCTCTGGCTAATCTTTTCAATATATCACTACAGACTGGCATGGTGCCAGATAAGTGGAAAATGGCAAATGTGATACCTATTTTCAAAGCAGGTGACAGGTCCTTAACTTTGAACTATAGACCAATAAACCTAACCTCCAGAGTGGGAAAATTTATGGAATCAATAATTGCCAAGGCAGTTCGTAGCCACCTTGAAAAGCACAAATTAATCAACGAATCTCAGCATGGTTTTACAAATGGGCGTTCCTGCCTTACGAATTTATTAACTTTTTTCACTAAGGTATTTGAGGAGGCAGATCATGGTAATGAATATGATATTGTGTATATGGACTTCAGTAAGGCTTTTGACAGGGTCCCACATCAGAGACTATTGAGGAAAATTAAGGCACATGGAATAGGAGAAATTTTTTCCTGGATAGAGGCATGGTTGACAAATAGGCAGCAGAGAGTTTGCATAAATGGGGAGAAATCAGAGTGGGGAAGCGTCACGAGCAGTGTTCCACAGGGGTCAGTGTTGGGCCCCCTGTTGTTCACAATCTACATAAACGACATTGATGAGGGCATAAAGAGCGACATAATCAAGTTTGCCGATGACACCAAAATAGGCCGTCAAATTCATTCTGACGAGGATATTACAGCACTACAGGAAGATTTGAATAGACTGATGCAGTGGTCGGAGAAGTGGCAGATGCAGTTTAATATAGACAAATGCAAAGTTCTAAATGTTGGACAGGAAAATAACCATGCCACATATAAACTAAATAATGTCGATCTTAATATTACGAGTTGCAAAAAATAATTAGGAGTTCTGGTTAGCAGTAATCTGAAACCAAGACAACAGTGCATAAGTGTTCGCAATAAAGCTAACAGAATCCTTGGCTACATATCAAGAAGCATAAATAATAGGAGTCCTCAGGTTGTTCCTCAACTCTATATATCCTTGGTTAGACCTCATTTAAATTATGCTGCACAGTTTTGGTCACCGTATTACAGAATGGATATAAATGCTCTGGAAAACATACAAAGGAGGATGACAAAGTTGATCCCATGTATCAGAAATCTTCCTTATGAGGATAGACCGAGGACCCTGAATCTGCACTCTCTAGAAAGGCGTAGAATTAGGGGGGATATGATTGAGGTGTATAAATGGAAGACAGGAATAAATAAAGGGGATGTAAATAACGTGCTGAAAATATCTAGCCTAGACAGGACTCGTAGCAATGGTTTTAAGTTGGAAAAATTCAGATTCAGGAAGGATATAGGAAAGCATTGGTTTGGTAATAGAGTTGTGGATGAGTGGAACAAACTCCCAAGTACAGTTATTGAGGCTAAAATGTTGTGTAGTTTTAAAAATAGGTTAGATAAATACATGAGTGGGTGTGGGAGGGTGTGAGTTGGACCTGATTAGCTTGTGCTACTAGGTCAGTTGTCGTGTTCCTTCCTTAAGTAAATGTGTCCTGACCTGACTAGGTTGGGGCATTGGCTTAAGTCGGTAGGAGACTTGGACCTGCCTTGTATGGGCCAGTAGGCCTGCTGCAGCAGTGTTCCTTCTTTCTTATGTTCTTATGTTCTTAAATGTATGGAAGCAGGTAAGGTACCTAGGGATTGGCAGAGAGCATGCATAGTTCCTTTGTATAAGGGCAAATGGGACAAAAGAGAGTATAAAAATTATAGGGGAATAAGTCTGTTGAGTATACCTGGTAAAGTGTATGGTTGAGTTATTATTGAAAGGATTAAGAGTAAAGACGGAGAGTAGGATAGCAGATGAACAAGGAGGCTTTAGGAAGGGTAGAGGGTGTGTAGACCAAGTGTTTACAGTTAAACATATAGGTGAACAGTATTTAGGTAAGGGTAGAGAGGCTTTTGTGGGATTTATGGATATGATAGGGTGGATAGGGGGGCAATTGTGACAATGTTGCAAATGTACAGAATAGGAGGTAGGTTATTGAAAGCAGTGAAGAGTTTTTATGAGGATAGGCTCAGGTTAGAGTATGTAGGAGAGAGGGAGATTATTTCCCAGTAAAAGTAGGCCTCAGACAGGGATGTGTGATGTCACAATGGTTGTTCAATATATTTATAGATGGAGTTGTAAGAGAAGTGAATGCTCAGGTGTTGGCAAGAGATGTGGGGTTAAAAGATAAAGAATCTAACACAAAGAAGGAGTTGCTCTCTGCTGATGACACTGTGCTTTTGGGAGTTTCTGAAGAGAAGTTGCAGAGGTTGGTGGGTGAGTTTGGTAGGGTATGTAAAAGAAGGACATTAAAAGTGAATATAGGAAAGAGTAAGGTGATGAGGATAACAAAAAAATTAGATAACGAAAGATTGGATATCAGATTGGAGGGAGAGTGTATGGAGGAGATGAATGTATTCAGATATCTGGGAGTGGAAGTGTCAGCAGATGGGTCTATGAAAGATGAGGTGAATCATAGAATTGACAAGGGGAAAAAGGTGAGTGGTGCACCTAGGAATTTGTGGAGACAAAGAACTTTATCCATGGAAGCAAAGAGGGGAATGTATGAGAGTATAGTTATAGCAACGCTCTTATATGGGTGTGAAGCATGGGTGGTGAATGTTGCAGAAAGGAGAAAGCTGGAGGCAGTGGAGATGTCATGTCTGAGGGCAATGTGTGTTGTGAATATAATGCAGAGAATCCGTAGTTTGGAAATTAGGAGGTGCGCGATTACCAAAACTATTATCCAGAGGGCTGAGGAGGGGTTATTGAGGTGGTTCGGACATGTAGAGATGATAGAACAAAAAAAAATGACTTCGAGTGTATAAATCTGTAGTGGAGGGAAGGCAGGGTAGGGGTCAGCCTAGGAAAGGATGGAGGGAGGGGGTAAAGGAGGTTTTGTGTGTGAGGGGCTTGGACTTCCAGCAAGCATACATAAGTGCATTAGATAGGAACAAATAGAGACAAATGGTTTTTAGGACTTGACATGCTGTTGGAGTGTGAGCAAGGTAACATTTATGAAGGGATTCAGGGAAACTGGCAGGCCAGACATGAGTCCTGGAGATGGAAAGTACAGTGCCTGCACTCTGAAGGAGGGGTGTTAGTGTTGCAGTTTTATAACTGCATTGTGAGTGCACCTCTGCCTTGGTGGGAAACAGCCAATGTGTTAATAAAAAAAATAGTTGTATACCATAAAACAATACTACTAGAAACCAATTATGGTATTTCATGATAAACTAATGATGGAGTTAGGTCATATATACTAACTCATTGTACAATACATGACAGCTTACTGTAGTGAAAATTATTGTATGATAGAGTGAGCACATACCTGAATTAACTTTTCACCTTTGGCCACATCCAAATGCAATCCTACAGGCGGTTTACCTGCCCTGAAATAAAAAAAAAAAAATAGCTGTTACTAATACATTACCCAATTTCAAAATATTACAAAAATGTTTGTTTATAACATTGTCTCAAAAAATATTTTCATTATAATAATTTCCAATGCTGAATACAGCTGCTCTGAGCTAGGCCTAATGCAATTTGTTCAGGTATTGCATATAAATATATGTTCCATAAATTTCAATATAATCACAATGGCTCTTGAATGTAATGTAGTGTGCAGTGGAACCTCAGTTTTCGTATGCCCTGGTTTTTGTAGGATTCGGTTTTCGATGACATTTTTCATCAAAATTTTGTCCCAGTTTTCGTACATCTGCTCCGTTTTCGTAGAGTTGACAATGGTCCGCAGTGCCAAACACGTCCACCTGCCCACGCCCACGCAAAGCATCCCACGTGTTCTGACTCAGTCTGGCTTTGTTTCTCATTGAGTGAGCATTACCCCACGCATTCATCCGAAACATTTCATAATAATCCATTGCTTTTTGTGCTTGTTTATTGAGTGCAACTGCTTAATAAGCCACCGTGGGGCCATATAAAGTTCCAAGTGCCAGCTCTTTGATAAAGAAGGGAAGAAACACGATACAATTCAAGAAAGAACTCGTAGCAAAGTACTACAAAGTGGCGTATGCGGGGGCCATCTCGCCAGTAAAAGACAAAGAAGGCAAGTAACCCCGGAAAGAGCCTTGATACCTTATGGAGGGGGATTCCCCTTCCAAACAATAACCTCTCCTCCTCCCTCTCCCCTCCTCGCTGTCTTCCATACACCAACAAGAATCTTCAATAAAGGTAAAAGTGATTTATGTAGTCATTTATATTTATTTCTCATTGCTTTCTGTACGTAAAACTATAGTTATTCTCTATAAAATGTATTTTTTTGCTAATATTTTTGGGTGTCTGTAACGGATTAATTGGAGTTACATTATTTCTTATGGGAAATATTGCTTCAGTTTTTGCACAATTTGTTTTTCGTCAGACTTTCTGGAACAAATTAATCACGAAAACCAAGGTTCCACTGTATACGTATTGTAATTTTAATAAAGGCAAAACTATTGTACAGAACACTATACCAAACTATCATCCCTATCACACTGACATTTACCTATTCATTATAAAACACAGGATATTGAAGTTAAAAAATCAGTTTCTACCATTAACCTTCCCATAGACACACAGGCAAGAGGAAGAAATTATGACTTGTCTGCCGCATGCACTTTATGATTAATCAAGTCTGTATTAAACTAATGGAACTATTTACTAATCTGTATATTGTATAATACAAAAATTAAGAAATTTATTGTTCTTGTATTGGTGGCAAAGAGCATATGTGTTGAGCATAATAGCAATTGTGAGAACAAAGGTTGATAAAAAGTTACCATGGCTCCTAAATTTCTAGATAATAATACAGTGGACGCCCCGTTCGCGATGCTATCGGTATCCAATAAATCCGGTAGCCGATGCATTATATCGCCAAAAATTTGCCTCGGTTCCCGTTACAAAACCCGGTATGCGATGCGATTTGTACGAGACGTGTCCACGTGTGGCCTGAACTGCCCCGTGTGTGCCAGTGTTTACAAGCCAGCCAGTGTGCGCGCATCTAAGGATACATTCGGTACATTCCATATTATCCATATTATCACTTTTTGGTGCTTGTTTCTGCAAAATAAGTCACCATGGGCCCAAAGAAAGCTTCTAGTGCCAACCCTGTGGTAAAAAGGGTGAGAATTAGTATGGAAATTAAGGAAGATTTTGAAGGGTTTGGGGTTAACCCTGAGAAGCCTATGCCAGTTGTGGAATCCATTGTGCCTACTTCAAAGATTAAGGAAATGTGTGCAAAGTGGGTTGAATTGCAAACCTTTATGGATGAAAATCACCCTAACACAGCTATTGCAAGCCGTGCTGGTGACTATTACAATGACAATGTTGTGGCCCATTTTAGACAAATCTTAAAGAAACGGGAGGTACAGAGCTCTATGGACAGATATGTTGTGTGACAGAAGTCCAGTGACTCTCAAGCTGGTCCCAGTGGCATTAAAAGAAGAAGGGAAGTAACCCCAGAAAAGGACTTGCTACCTCAAGTCCTAATGGAGGGGGATTCCCCTTCTAAACAATAGGTTCAACACACTCCCCTCCTCCCATCCCATCAATCATCACCAGATCTTCATTAAAGGTAAGTGTCAATTATTCTATTGTTATTATTCTATTGTTATTGTAATTATTCTATTGCATTAAACTTAATATTTCATGTGGTAAAAGTTTTTTTTTTTATACTTTTGGGTGTCTTGCACGGATTAATTTAATTTCCATTATTTCTTATGGGGAAAACTGATTCACTTTCCGATAATTTTGGTATACGATGAGCTCTCAGGAACGGATTAATATCGCGAACCGGGGGTTCACTGTATACATAATTAGGAGTGAAGATTACTGATTACCTTATTTAACAGCTATTTTCAGCAACATGGAGAAGAGCTGTTGAACAATACAACACAAGAAAATGGAGTGGAATCCAGTGTACCCTGTAATGTATCATACAAAGCTACATGGTAATGACTATGTGTACCATGCCCCACATAAAGCTATATGTTAATGACTATGTGTACCATGACACACATGAAGCTACTTGTTAATGAATGTGTGTACCATGACACACAAGAAGCTACATGGTAAGGATTCTGCACCCCAAGAAATTACAGAGGTAAGACTCAGCATACCATGGCACATAAGAAACTACTAAGATGGATCTAATGCACTACCATCTATGATATGTTAACACTAACAAGAGTGCATCAAATTGTTGGAAAAATATGGAAACACACAATGCATGCTATAATTTCAATGCTTTGCAACTATTCAATCTGTCAAATTAACCATTTCATTTGCAGAATGGATGGGGTTCAAACTCATAGCAAGCCAATCCTAAAACTAATAGGCCAATTTGCTAACCACTGTACCATGCTAGCTTAATAAGATTTATCCAACAAGGTATATTTTTATACCCTAGGAAGGATAGCATGGGCCCCAGAGTGACTACAGTGCAGTTTTACAGCTGAATCTCACACTAACATGGCTGTGGCAAGCTCTAGTTCATGTTCCTTCACAGCTGTTATGACTGACTAGAAAAACTGTAGTAGCATGAATGCAAAATGCATTGACCTGCCAGTTTTTGGACTAGCTTGCCTGGGTTTGAACCCCATCCCTTCTGTCAGTGGTTAATATTATTATTGTTACCCAAAGACGTCATACATCTTGTGCAACACAAATGAACATACAGTAGCATAATCTGTTCATTTTCATTTTTTCTTCAATGTGTTTCACTCTTTTTCAATGTGTTTCTCAAAATATGAACTTTGCATTAGTACTGCAATCTTCAAATTGCAATGATTTCAAAGTACTTATTCCCAAAGTGAATGAGTGTATTTACTGCAAACAATTTTTTATTATTTTAGAGTAAAATGAAAATTTTTGTTACTTGAGAATACAACATACCAACCAAACTCCTTCACTATATCTCATTACATCAATGCAAAACCACACTCAACAGCACAGTTATACAAAAACAAAAGAACATTACAAATGCCATTTTTACTTAAAATAGTGTACTATATAAAAAAAATTACAGGTCCTCCATCACAAATCCGGCATCATTGGGACCTGTAGTGTGCCGGATTACTGAGTTTGCCAGATTACAGAGTGGTTAGGTTAGAATACACTTAACCCTTTCAGGGTTTTGGCCGTACTAGTACGGCTTGCGCGCCAGGGTTTTTGATGTACTAGTACGCATAAATTCTAGCGCCCTCAAATCTAGCAAGAGAAAGCTGGTAGGCCTACATATGAAAGAATGGGTCTATGTGGTCAGTGTGCGCAGTATAAAAAAAAATCCTGCAGCACGCAGAGCATAATGAGAAAAAAACTTTGACCGTGTTTTTGGTTTAAAACAGCGACTTTGCACTGTATTTTTGTATGGTATTTATTGTTGTATTCTAGTTTTCCTGGTCTCATTATATAGAATAGAAGACATATTACAGAAATTGAGATGATTTTGACTGGTTTTACAATTAAAAGTACCTTGAAATTGAGCTCAAAGTAGCAGAAATGTTTGATTTTTACCAAAGTTCAAAAGTAAACAAATCATGCTAAGCGTCCAATACACGTCAACTGGTGAGTCTAATATTCTTTCACAGGTGTGCCGATATTATTTATACCATTTCTACACTAATGCAGTAGTCTGCATAACAGTAAATCTTATTATCTTTGAGAATAAAAAATCAAAGTGGAAAGCAAAAGAAATGTAAGAGGGGCCTGGGGACGTGACTAATGAACAGAGGAAATGTTATTTTAGTGCCAGGAATGTCTTTTCTTGTTTATTCTGGACCCTATTTGGAAATTGGCATCTTTTGAAATTTGTGTGTAATTGGCAAAATTGCTAAATTCTGACCACTTTATTGGATAGCTGAAATCGGTAAATGGGTGGTTTCTTGTACTCATTCGATAGAAAAAATGGAGTTCTAGCAAAATAGTTATGATTTTTGTCGACTAGTACTCTGGAATTGGCCGAAAATAGGGTTCAAAGTGGGCAAAATCGCCGATGCGTAAACACTCTCGAGACTGCTAACTTCGCGAGAGCATAATTCCATAAGTTTTCCATCAAATTTCATACTTTTGGTGTCATTATGATCAGGAAAAGATTCTCTATCTTTTCATAAGAAAAAATATTTTTTTTTTTTTTAAATTTTGGCGATCCTGAGAACAAGTCTCTGAGAGGGCCTGGCGACCCTCAAAGGCTTAAAAAAAATTAACCAACTTGTCTTACACAAAGTTCATTGAACATCGGCACAAATTGAATATTTCCGCTACTTTGAGCTCAATTTCAAGGTACTTTTCGTCATGAAAGCAATCAAAATTATGTCCATTTCTGTAATTTATCTGTAATAAAGTTGGTAGAATTACCGACAATATGTAAAGTAAAAGGACACAAGTGCAACTAATG